ACAAAAGTGTGTAGAATTGAAAATTAAAAATTTTCATTAAATTTAGTCAAATGGTTATAATCCAAGAAAACTTCACTCGAAGTTTAGAAAAAAATCTGTTCTATCAATAACCATTTTTTTAAAACTTTTAGCAAGGTTTTTTTGACAACCACCTGACAAAATCTAATGAAAATTTTTATTTCAATTCTATAATTCTATTTAGTTATATAGTTACTGAGAAAACTGAGAAAACTTAAAGTTAGAAAAATTATCCCATTTGGTAACGAAAAACTAAATTTGTTTACATGTATGTAATCAATTTTGATTGGTCAAGATACGTAAGTTCATTGAATGTACGATCCGAATTGCAACTCCTAAAACGCCGAAAAGTTGATCTCAGAAACTAAATGTCTTGTGTTCAAAATTACAAATACACAAAATTTCAATTTACCCTACATGTGATTAAAATTACATTTCCATGTAAATCCAATTTACCGAATCTTACGAAAAATTACACAAAATTACGTAAAATTACGGTAATTTCACAACCCTAAACGTAGCACTATCAGAAAATTTCAAAACAATCAATAAAATCTTTATTAAATTTGGACAAATTTTACAATTAAAATTCTTGTTAATTTGAAAGCTAGTAACATTTGTCTACAGAAACTTGAAATAACGGGCATGGACGTTATTTTGAAGTCAGATCCATATATTTGCTTCCAAATAAGCCTATGGACATCCCAGATTAATGTGCACTTTATACAATATATTATGAATTTATACACTGTATAGTAATAAATAGGCTCAGAAAATTGGCTTTTTATCTCGAAATAACGAACATGGGCGTACTCAAATAACGAGTAGACACCCGTTATTTCAAGTTTTTACGTACCTATCGTATTATTAAACCATGACTATTCAATATCTTAAAAATTCTTTAAGATCATTAAATAAACCCTATTACCACCAAAAGCCCATATGGTATAAGGGTTATCAAGCCAATCAAATTAATAATCATCCTTCTTTTTTTTGTATTATATAAATAACCCTGATCTCTATAAAATCCTTTTGTGGTTAGGTTTGCGCGTATGTTGTATTTCTTAACATTAACAAATTTGATTGGCTTTTGAGTTTGACACTATTGATCGAAAATGGGATATATATTTGGGTCATAATTTATGAACCAAGGTAGAAGTCCCAATTACCAAACCAAATTATGTATTAATGTCATGATTCCAAAAAGTGGCTTGGGCTGCGACCCTACTCACAACTTCAACACCTCTTGCACGCGCTTTGACTCGAAGGTTTCGATCATTTGTAAGCAATACAACGGCTTCATTATTATCGCTTCCATTTTCTGTTTTGCTATGAAAACCGTTATCCCCATGATTTTTGGTATGCCACAGACAGATGCCAAGAATAAGATCATCCAAATTTTTCTTTTTATCTTCACCATCGCCAAAATCAAATTCTTCACTAAATTTAATTCCAGATACATAATTGCCTTTACTTGTCTGAACTCTGAGTTTTTTAGACGATGATAAAGCTTGTTCAAGATAAGCAATCGCTTCGGATGCTGCAGTACCAAGAGGGGGTGGGTTAAGTTTTAACCCATCCAATTCCGTGATAACTATGAGAATAGGAAAAAAATAAATAGATAAATAAATAAATAAAATGAAACTCAAACGTTATATTATATTAACTAGTGCTTGGATCCTCTATGTGGATCCGAATTCGATTCACAAGCGAATTCAGATCAGGTCCGAATCTTCTACAGAACACTAATAATTACTTACCAACCAAAGGCACAACCACCACCCAATTATCACTTTGAATGATTTTTTTGACCATGTCGAGATCCCCGATAAGGCAATTGGTATCGATTACAATTGTAGTATATCCTGCAGCAATTCTAGAAGGCGAAGGTGTAACCTTTTTCGTTGTGTGAGAAGTATTCTTTTTGGAATTCTTTGACGAAAATTTTTGTGCTGAGGAACCTCGGAAACTCTCACGAGTTGTGGCTAAAAGATTTTCTAATTCTTGTTTGCGAGACTAAATAGAAATAGGTAACGTAATATCGTGTATATAGTATAAATATTTAAATAAATATTTATATAAATAAAGACATACTTTCAATTCCATAATTCCTTCATCATCTGATTCAATGTGATCACCAATGTGTTCATTATCGGCAAAATCTGTAGATTTCGTTGTAACATGACTAGTTTCATCATCAGTATATAAATTTGAAGGATGTTCATTTTCCTTGTCAGAAATTTCATCAACTAATTTTAAAGAAGACGTAAAAGTGAAATCTTCAATATTAAAATCTAAACCAATGATTTTCTGTAAGACCATATGTATTAAATAGTAAATATTACTTTTATTATTGATAAAAAAAAAATATGAATAGGTGATACGAATAAGTGAACGAATTAAATTACCTTAGTTAACAGATAACCCAATTCCATAATCCTTGCTCTACGACGACTTTTAGAATCTTGATCAGAAATCAGGTCCAAATTATCATTAATATTATTAATGATAACCTCAATGTCATCATCCACAAATTTTATATATGGTTTAGGTACATGTTCAAACATATAAGGCTCATAAAGTGACTGAAGCCAAGAAATACCACGTAATTCCCAATCTTCAGTTAATGGAGGAGGACGAAGACGATCTACAGAATTTGAATCTTCAATGTTTGATGAAAATTCTATAATTTCTTTTATAGTAAATGGAGATACTTGATGGGCAATTTTTGTAAGGAATCGAACCAAGGTTTCCCAAAAATCAGGACAAATAGATTTGTCCAAAAATTTTCTCCAAATACAATTTTTAGATTTATCAGCAAAATTATTAAAAGCATCATTAGCTACCATCCAAAGCAACACAATCTCACAATATAAAAGCAAGCCCTCAGAAACATCGACTTCACCCTTAAATGATATAGGATCAAGATATTTAGATAAGAATTGATACATGACAGCAAAAGTGAGCCTAGATTCTTCAGCAAATGTTGGATCTAAATCCAAAATTTGATTAAAATCTATATCAGTTGTTGTGGTTGACCTGAGAGACGAATTCTCGGTGTTGCCATAGTTGTATAAGCTTGATATATTAATAACTCCCATTCGCATGCAAAATTCCATCCACTGTACCCCATTTGTATCATTATAACTCTGGATGTCTTTCAATTTGAATAATTTATCCATAAAGATTTCTAGAGTCTGATCAAAAAACTCGAGTCCAACTTTAGTAAAAAGCATTCCATGTAATCTGACATACAAGCTTTCAATTGATTGGTTATTCAAACTATCAAATCGTTTATTTGAAGAATGTAAATTTTCACGTTGCATATAAGTACGGCTTTTTTGCTTTTGCTTATTATTACTTGTTACGAGATTTGCAAACCGTTTTCGATTTGATTCGAATAACCAAATAAGTGGCTCACGAGCGGCCATATAGGGAGTATCAACCATAAGGCTTTAAATGGAAATATAAATTGTTATATTAATGAAATAAAATATTATATAGCTAATAAATATATATGCGTACCTTCTACAATAATAATATAATGTTTTAAACTCATCCTGTCCCGCGAGAATAGCCAAATGATTATAAAGTTTTCCTAGGAATCAATAAATAAATAAAATAAATAAAGAAATAAAGAAAGACATATATATATACACTTAATATAAAGTTTAATTACAAGTAAAAAATATTAAAAGTGCGAGAAGAAAATAAATTATTATACCATTATTAGACTTGAGTTGAATTCCTAAACGATACCATCGAGAAGCATTTTCAGCCCAGAATTGTTTATTCTTTTCTTGATCTTCCGAGCAATATGACCAACGATATCTAGCAATGTCCCCCAAACAGCCTATACAACGTATCCACCTTGGAGGTTTATTGCTCTCCAAATGCTTACTACTAAGCTTCGAGTTTTCAGAAATCAGTTTTATTAACTTTTTATAAAACATTTCAACTTCATCTAAAAAGATGTTGAATTGACTTAAAATAACAGTAGATGACGATGATGATGGTTTATTTGAAGATTGACGTCGTTCCAAAGAAATTGCTTGACGAAATTGTTCAATTAACGAGTAAAACGCAATTTTCCAACATCTTGATTCAATGTCATGCTTCACAGCCGAAGAATAACTAAGATGAATATATTCACAATACTTTTTGGCCAATCTACAATTATAAAAAAGATTTTTAAATTTAGATTCAAAATGAATGGAAAAGAACATGAAATTATTAATCAACGCATACCTTAAATGAGAGTTAATCTTAATTTGCCAATAACTTTCGTCCTGAAAGAGTGAAGCACTTTCATCAAGGTTTTTAATATTTATGGAAAACTGTTTTGAATTTTCACTTAATTGTTTCTCCATTGACGCAATTTTCGCGGAAAGTAATTTTAAACTTTTCGCGATTTCTAGACTATTAGCATCTTTACAAGGAGTTTTTTCTGATTGTTTTAAATTGGCATCGGTAGATGCATTAACACTATTTGTTCTTGAGCCATTAACACTACTTGTTCTTGAGCGATTATTATAGGATCTTAACTTTACATCAGTCATTTCTTCAGTAACATAAAACTGTTTACGAATATTACAATAAGAGATTACCATTTAGAGAAGTGTGAAAAAGAACGGAGTCAAAAGGAGTTGTACAAGATCACGTGAAACAGAATCAATCAAATTATACAGTGCGGACAGCCTAGTCCCAACAAATGTTTAAAATGGCCAGTAAATATAATGTGGCCAGATTTAAAATCTAGAGCAGCCGCCAAATTTGCATATTTTAAGCGGTCAAATTGCTTGTTTAACGTTAATTCTAAAATTGCTTCGACTTTAATTCTCCACTATATATATATTTTATTAAAAGTAAATTTAAAAAAAATTTAAGACCATCAAAATGTTTAGCTTGTATGGTTTTAATGTTCTATGATATCCTCGAACAAGCAAAAAAATATAACGCAATCTGAACGTACACTGGATGGATTACTAAAAAATTATAAAACCTAAATTCGATAAAAATATACACCCAATCCTACATATCGATATACGTCTTTTATTAATTTTGGCTGATGTTGAAGCTAAAAAATCTGATTGGCTAAATTTTGCAGATCACCCTAACCCTAACCAATCAGATTTTTTAGCTTCAACATCAGCCAAACTTCAGCATCAGCCGTCACATTAATTATTTATTGCTTTGATTTTAAGCGCGCGCATCATGTTATCGTTGTGGTTGACCAATGTATGTCAGGTATGAAGAATATTATTGATATCAGATATGTATGTACGTACGTACGTACCAATAGCGCTGGATGGTATTTGATTTTTGTGGTAAAGAGAAAACCAACAGGATTCCATCGTACTGTATAAAAAACTCTATCAAAATTATCTCTGCGCTTTAAGCAATACCAATGTCACACATACAAATTTCGGCGTAAACAAGATTGGTTTTTCATACATCTTGACCAAAGTACCTCGTAGAAATATAAGTACGTAGGTAATTAATTCTTAATAAATAGTCTTGCTCGTCGGAATTCGTCGAAATATGGGTAATCGCTTAATAAAATTATTTTTGAATTTCGGATAGAAACATTAATCTCAACTAATCTGATCATTCAGTATTTTAAGGAATAGGGTCAAATGTTAAGGAATATGGTGTAGTGACAAAGAACAATATCCAATATATATATTTAGTTCGAGATATTCGAGTTGTATCAATAAAAAAAAAAAAATACCAAAAAAAAAACTTATTGAAGGGTAAATCGTGAATCACGGTTGGATCAAAAATTGCAAAACTTACGATTTACACCTACTTTTTTGATGCATCTAAATGCATTCTAAAATTTGTTCAAGCAAAGCATAAAAGAAACTGCGAAATTTTGATTTTTCTTCTCAAGTAGTGTACAGTACGTACAGTATATTTAATAGATTGAATTGGTAATAATTCAATATAAATATTGTTGGACCAGAATCGCCGTAGATATCAACAACCGTACCCATTGCCCGTTTACTAATTTCATTATTTCTTTTGTCTTCATTCCTTGTAGTAATTTGTTCAGGTGTATAAATTTTTTTGTGTTCTGTATGTTAACTAGACTAAAAAAAAGAACATGACAATGTTTTATTTGATTCAATATATTTGTTTACAATATGATGATATAATTATGATAATGCTTGATACAAGGTAATTCTTATTTCTAATAGATAAACAGCACTTTTATTAATCAATTAATACTGTATATTGGTATTCTATTAAAAGTCAGCTAGTGCATTTTAATCAATATTTCAGTATCTAAACGTTGAGCCTAGAAATTGAACCTGAATAAGGATTAGTTAAAATTCAGTGGGTAAGACTTGAAAGGCTTTCTTTCACTTCACTCTCCTCAGTTCCAGCCAATTAGCAATTATCGTAATTAAAATTAGAAAAATGGCAATGTTTTGTGGGCTGGAGCTCTAATTATCAGGTCTTACACTTTGAAATTAAGAAAGTATTTAAATTTTATAAATTGATATATACAGTATTACTTATAGAGATTACATCCATGATAAATTTATAAAGAAGCAATTTTGTAAACGCATATTTAGAACCATTAAAAAGAAGGTTAGCAAATGTATGAACCCTTGATACGCCTACAAATGTAAAACCAGTTGCAAATTTCTTATTTCCGAGATCTATTGCGGTGTTAAACCTTATGAATTGTAGTTACCCAAGCAAGACATAAAGAAATCCATATGTGAGAGCAAGATTTTCATTTTTCTTCTCAAGCACAGTATATTTAATAGGTCGAATTGGTATTACTTGGTTATGGTTCGATATAGATAGTGTTGAACCTGCATAATTATCCATTTTGACCAGATTGCTATAGGGTAATGAAGGCGGCACCATTTCTAATTCACATGTAACTAGGCTTATTTTAAAATTAGGCCCGGTCCGCCAACTTATGAACTTAAAATGACATTTAAATACTTAAACAAGTTATAGTATGTACAAATTTTTACGTTTATACATATTCATTTTACATCCAATCAAGCATTTCCGGTCATAGTCCTGAACTGATCTAGCGTTACCAATCAAAAAATTTCGCTAAACAAATTTCGCTGTTAGATTAGGGTTTTGCTATTAAGTTAGATTAGAAAGAGCTTTAATAATACCAAAATTTCGCAAGGAAAATTTTTGTTAGTGCGCAGAAGGTGCTTTCATAGATAAAATGTTGAGTTATAAACGACTTTTTGATTTGGTTTGATTTTCTGCGTTTCTTTTGCGTCACGCTGATCTTGGAATCTGATTGGCCAGTGAAATTTTTTAGGTTGGTAACGCTAGGACAGTTTATATAGGGATGATCGGTTAATTTTTATTGCTGGAGATTATACCCGGATACGTAGGGACGATGATTTTATGCAAATCACATAAAACCGCATAATATAATCGACAATACATATTTGCTGCATAAAGTATGCTGCTATTAAGTAAATTTGGCTCCGAATAGAAAATCAATCAACGCAAATTACAAGCAAGGTCGAAAAAAAAATTTACGGTCAGTTCTGAAGTACTCCGAATGGTTGTTTCCATACTAAATTTATGTATTATGGCGCAAAAGGTAGCATAGTCATATATAAATATAAATTTTGGATGCAGAATACGCGCATAATTATAAAAAATAGATACACATCAAAATGTATAATTTACTTTTTATTGCAGCATAAAGTATGTATGTTGCTATTAAGTAAAATTTGCATAATTGGCTCTCTAAGACAGTTCCAAAAGGTTCTGAATAGAAAATTAATCAATGCAAATTATAATCAAGGTTGAAAAAAATTTATGGTAATTTTTGAAGTATTCCAAATAGTTGTTTATATATTAAAATTATGTGTTATGGCTAGTGATGTGCAGTGTTTAAAATTCCGCACAAATATGCAGTGCAAAAAATTTTTTTTATATTGGAATGTTATTTTATTTTCTGTGCA